TGGGTATATTTAACGCTTTCCTTAAATACAACCTGGCTACTATTTAATTATTAAGTTAATATTAAAGACTTTAGCAGAGTAGCTTAGAATCAATGCTCTTACTTTTATATTTGATCAGACTTACAAATGTCAAAAGTTCATCCTTATAATGAGGCTTGAGTAAGGGACTTTTGACTCCGTTTGGTGAACGGAACAAATTCATAAATATGAAAAGAATTCCTTAATAATTTCATGCTGTTGTACCTAACATTCTGTTTGAAAAGGCGAATTGAAGGGTTTCATAAATTGGTCTTAACGGAAGCTGAAAAAGGATTTCATTAAAGTTCTAAATTCATATTTTTGCGAATGAGTTCTCAGCGCACCGCCCCGTGATCCCGATGAATCCATGCTGAACTTATCTTCGTCATTTGACGGAGCTCGTCCTTCTACTCGGGATGTTGGATGCTTCCTTTATTTATCCTGTCTCCTAAATCTTCCATTTAGCCATGATTTCTCCATTTCCTAGAATGGGTTAGATCTTCCAATTTTGTAATCAACGAACATTTGCTGGCCGTTTTGTGTTAAGATATTCTCCAGCGTATGTGTGGGCAGGTCTATCTCACATGGACACAAAACCTAAAAGCCTTATTTGATGAAAGGTTCCTAAAATTTCTTAAAAGAATGCAACCAGGTAAAATATTATTTTCTATTGCCCAACTTCCATAATTCGTTAATCAAGCTATGGGTTGCCTTATCAAGCTCGAAAAGTTATCTTATAGGAAATAGACAGGATCTCGACCGGTTACCATTCTTGCTAATGTTTGAAATTTTCTCAAAGAAGTGTTTCGTCTTCTAATATTGTTTATAAAAAACAGACGAAATCCTAGCATGGATTCATCTAACTTGCAGGCTGGTGAAGCGAAGACTTGTCCACTCAATTCAGCATTCGCTACACCAAGGTGGTATCCCTTCGGTTTCCGATCTGACAAATTAACGAAGCTTTCTCCAACCAACGAAAAGGGAGGTACAACTTTAATAATTTCTTAAGGAACTCTTTGAAAGCCATATCTGCCTTCTTGGATATTTAATTTCATCATTCCTTAGATGTAATGGGCGTTACGCACTATGAACATTCTTTGACTCTGTTTGTTTTACTTCACTCAGCCAAAGGGCATCTTACCTATTGGGGCGAACTTGAATCTGATGAGGACGAATCAGAAGAGGAAGATAATGAATCTGGATCAGACTCTGGTTCTGAGGAAGGTGAAGCAATCGGTGAGGTCTCGGCATCCAGTGCAGCAGACAAGCCCATTATTCAGACTCTTGAAGTTACTGGCCTGTTAACTCCAGCGACCGGAACCGGGTAAGTGTGATTCCTTTCCCTTTCACTTGGTCTATCTATTCCTAGCAATGCCGAATATCACGAGTTTCCACTCCATCTGTGCTTTAACTTAAGTTTTTTTTTCAAAAGAAGTTGTTCTTTCGATTTTATTGAATAGGGACTAAATCTGTCGCTCTTATAAGCAAAAGAGGAGTATTAAGCCAAATTAAAGCTTTGTTTTGCTCTAAATAGATTTCATGATTCTTTGTTTATAGTCTTCGCATGATTATGTACTGGGATTTTTTAACGGAGAGTTTTGGACCCAAACAAAGCGTTATTTATGTGATCTGACATCGTTTCCGGAACTGAGTCATGCGTCAGGCCGACTTTGTTGGACGTACATTTTCCGAAGTCCTTTGCTGTACTTCCAAGCGTCGACCCGTGAACTAGGTACACTCAAGTATTTCGCAAGCATCGCCTGTGGGTCTTGCCAGTCTTAGAACCAAACTACAACTCGTTAAACAGACTTTCACTATTTATTGTCACTCGGTTCCTATAGTACGGTTGTTATTGGTATTTTGTGGTGGTGACATGTTTTAACAGCTTATAAGATTACTAAGATTTATGCTTAGGCTCACTGCATACTTTCAGCTGTTGGGTTTAACTTGTTTTTTTTTCCGATGCATTATTTTGGGATGTGCGGCTTACCGCGTCGGGTTTGTGTCTATGATTCGTCCTTTTATTGAATGAATGGCGTGTGCACCTTGGGTAGGTTTTTGTCTTCTTTTAGTGCTTGTTTTTTATGTATATTTTGTGAAATTCGTTGGTGGAACGAGATTTGGTTGTTGGGAGCTTTCGTAATACAGGGTCTATTATTAAAGTAATGTCTTGGCCTATGACATTTCATACCGTTTTTCACAGAAAAACAATGGAAACATCTTTTGTTGTTAGTGGGGAACATCAATAATATAAGTTGTTAGTATTCTATTTTTCCAAGTTAGGTGTTTGAACAGTCAGTTGGTGTATCTCATATTTTACTCCAGGCCCTATGTCTCAAACCTCCAATAGTACGTGCAATGTCGCCTAACCAGAAGAGCTCTTATGCTCTGATTCCCATGCTTACAGATATCAGGCATCGGCTTTATAATCGTCTGCTTGATTCAATCTCTGTACCCTGAGAAAAATGTGCACTTCCATTTCTGGTCGCCTACCATCTATCAAGTGGATTTTTAGTCAGTGTGGCTATAAGGCCGAATTTCTGTGACGGTTGTGATCATGTGCCGGTCTAGTCACGTGGCCGTCAGGCCCCCAAGATTGTA